GAAGCCCCTCGTGTTTGGCATCCACCCCCCCCCCAAATCCAGACATGATACGAACAAATTATGGCTTTCCATGACTCACACTGTCCACAAGCCGTGGCCAACATCAGATTTGATGACAAGGTTGCCCCCGACTAGAACGCGGTTCATCTAAAGCAAAGATCCAAACCCAGAACTTGTGAGGCAGAATTGCTAACCACTACTCCACCATGCTGTCACGCTTCAAAACAAAAGATACTAAAAAAAAAAATGAGATTTTTGATCCAACACAAACTGATTTGGCTTTTCGCCCTGTCGCAAACAACAAGAATAGTTTTCCACCGGGCTATTATTTAAGTCGGTCTGAACGCAGACAATTTCTCGCGCCTGCCGATATTGCTCTCGAATGACAGATTCAGAAACGTACGAGTGTTTTATTTACGCCGTCAGAAATCATCCTCGCTCGCAGACAAGTGCTCTCCGCGGGCTTGATAAGGATCACGGGTATTTATTTTACCCGGCTGAGCTCTTTCGGTGAATTGTTTGGTAATGGCTTGTCTCGCATGGCACCATTTTTTTTTTTTTGCATGACAAAGACAAGTCGCATTAGAAGTAAAGAAGACGTGGCGATGCGGTCGTGCTATACAATGGCCCGTTCCCTTGTGACTGACTGTGTGTCCTGTAATTGCCCTCTCCGCTCAGAGTCTCCTCTGTGAAAAAAGGATAAGGGACGGGTGGGGGCCCATCTCATTTTATCTCGAGACCAAGCACAGGGCTCTTGGTCGGACCTCCATCAGCTGGTCACGGTTCTATCTTTCAGGCTCGTGGAAGAAAAAGCACTGTGCTGGAGCCAATTCAAAATCGACGAAGAGAAAACCTTGACCTCCCCAGAGGCCCCATGCCAAAGCTTTTGGCTCTAAGCAGATGCGGCCTTGAAAAAAAAAAAAGGGTTTAATTTTTTTTTTCTTTTATCTCGAGACCAAGCACAGGGCTCTTGGTCGGACCTCCATCAGCTGGTCACGGTTCTATCTTTCAGGCTCGTGGAAGAAAAAGCACTGTGCTGGAGCCAATTCAAAATCGACGAAGAGAAAACCTTGACCTCCCCAGAGGCCCCATGCCAAAGCTTTTGGCTCTAAGCAGATGCGGCCTTGAAAAAAAAAAAAGGGTTTAATTTTTTTTTTCTTTTTTGAAATGGTCTTTTTGTTTGTTTTGGCCTTGGTTCGACAGATAATCCCTCACACAAATCCCGAATCTCTGTTGGATTCATTTATCCAAAGCGGCAGAAATGTATGAAGCACGCACATTTCAAGCTAAGCTAGCGTCACTTTGAGATGCTAACGAAAGGCAAATTGGAGTCGAGTCGACGCGTGTACAAATATTGACAAGCGGTGGTGTATACGTCTGCCTACCTGGAGACCTCTCTTTTGTTTTGGGAGGGGGGGGGGGGGGGCGGGTGGACATCCTAAGCGACAGCCTGCAGACTTTGCGTGTCTCCAGGGCTTCAGGTTCAGTCAGCCTACAGCAAAGAACTTCCTCAAAAGGTGCTGAAGTGGACAATTGGAGGAATTTCTCTTACGCAAACAGTGACTTTTCAAAACAATCTCTGAAATGACCTAAAATCAGGACAAGCGAGAGGCAACAAGGCCCGACACATAAACCAACCAAAACGGCGGCATCGTCGCCCACAAGGCACCACGTGCCCAAGGATTCAACATTTGGGCTTTTTAGAAGTTGAGTTACACTGTTTCGTCGTGAATCAACCACTTTGAAAGCAAGGCCAAGAGAGGACCACAGCTCGACACTAAAGCCTGCCGAGAAAATAATGAAAGGCAACTTTTGTTGCAAATCCGCGCAGCTTTATAAGGCGCCTGAGTTCACAACAAGGCAAGGTTAATTTACGAACCGAGCCATCAAAAACGGTTGTCAACCGACAATTTGAAATGGAGGATGATCCAAGCATGTAACAGGTCATCCCCCTACAAGAGAAAGGACAAGCGTTTGCTAGCGGCTAATGGTGACAGGTGCGGTCGGAAGTGGATTAATAATCTAAATGTACCATTTTGGCCCCACCCCTTCCCTTCTCAGAGGAAATCACGGGGATGATGAAAGCTCCTTGGCAGACCCTCTGCGGGCTTATTGATCCGAACCGACTGCTTTGCCATCAGTCATGGCGCTCGACACACTCGCAGGCGCAAAGTGCGGCGACACTTCAACAGGCTGACCGTTACCTTGAGCCTCTTATGCAAATACTCCAGTACTGTAAGTTTATGTTAAATTATATTGTCCAGATTTCTGGTACCATGTTCAACTAATATGCCCATGACCTTCAGAATCATTCGTGCCAACTGTCAACTGTATTAGCAATGGGACCGTTTCTTGAAACAATTCATTTCAAATTTGTCGCCATAAGGACAGCACACTTTCCCCTCAAAGGCATTTTTTCATACTCTAGTTCAAGGGTGTCAAACTCATTTTTGTCGCAGGCCACATTGTAGTGACGGTTTCCCTTGGAGGGCCGTTCTGAATTTTGGGAAACCATATAAACTCCACATATGACACAACAAATTAATGGATAGCTAGTTTTAAAATCGGTCAATCAAAGTCAAGAATAATGACTGTTATTGCGAATTACAGATGACAATTTGAAGTTTTGGTTGAGATTTTAGCAAGCATCATGGAACTTGACATGCTTGGCTTGACATGCTCGATTTGCTTTTGCGGGCCACCAAAAATGATTTGACGGGCCAGATGTGGCCCCCAGGCCTTGACTTTGACACCCGTGCTCTACTAAAATGACTTGACGGGCCAGATCTGGCCCCCGAGCCTTGACTTTGACACCCGTGCTCTAGTTGGTTAAAAAAAACAATAAGACATCTACCCATTCAAGCAAAGAGTGCTCTAGTTGGTTAAAAAAACAATAAGACATCTACCCATTCAAGCAAAGTTGTGCAAAAATATTTTTGTGACGTTTTAAGATTCAGATACTGATTCCGATCGGGATGTGTCACAATTAAGTTACCTTCTTGGAGTAGGGCGCCCTGGCCAGATTGATGCCGTCCCTGATGATTGCAAAGATATTTTTGCGACGTTTTAAGATTCAGATATTGATTCCGATTTGGATGTGTCATAAGTTACCTTCTTGGAATAGGGCGCCCTGGCCAGATTGATGCCGTCCCTGATGAGTTTATCCCGGATCATGATCTTGAGTTTGAGCTTCGGGTAGATGACCAGCTCCCTCCTGCAGTTCCCCAGGGTCAGGTTCCTGTGTGCGCCCACGTAGCCCACGCCGCGCGCGGGCTCGGTCCACGACTTGGACCCGCGCAGCTTGGACTCGTACTGGTCCACCATGTGGCCGGTGTAGACATCCGCGGAGGGCGGCATGGGCTCCAGGGTGAAGTACAGCCCGCTCGCCGCGTCTCTCGCCTCCTCCTTAAGACGCCGCACCGCGTCGTGGATCCGGCGGCGGTGGTGCGCAACGTACACCCCGATGGCGTCCAGGTCCGGGTCGCCGATCTGCTTGCACACCTCCAGGTCGTCGTAGCCATTATCCACGAAGGCTTGCACGTACTGGGCCAACTGCAGAGTCTTGAGCCACTCGTAGACGATGACAGGTCCGTTGCTTGTCATGTTGTTGAGTCTTTTTTGAGGGGGGGTGGAGGGGGTGTACGTAAAAAAAAAAAAAAAGTGGCGCTCACTTTCCCACCCGGCGTCTTGAACGCATCATGAGCTCTCAGCCTTTTATTGAATTGAAACTAAAAGTGAACACATTTCCGTGCAGAGAAAGAATAGGTGGCGTAATCCGTTCACGGCGAGTGGCTCAAAGTGCGTGTGAACGCAACACCTGTCAATGTAGATCCTCACTTCGAAATCAACGCGTCCATTGCCCAACGTTGCCACAAAAAAAAAAATATTTCCACAACACCGGTTTTCGTGACGCTGAAGAAAAGAAAAAAAAAAGCTCCTTGCGCTTGGCACTCCCGAACAGATGACAAACGAGGTGTTTGTAGCGAGCGACTTCCCAACGAAAGCAGCCGACGTCCACGCGTGCTCCTCCGGCGTGCGCGTCACTCACCTCACGCTGGAAATGCAGCCAAGAGGCAACACGCGAGCCGGAGTGACTGCACGCTGCGGCTCCTCCGACGTCCACGCCCCCTTCCAAAAAAACACACGCACACACATTGTGACACGTTCGCACAACTTGTGCGAAAGTTGCGTGGGCGCCCCTGAAAGGGGATTTGAAAGCTTAAATGTCTTTAGGCTTCACGTCATAGCGGACTGTTGTCAATTTGTCTCCGTCCCACCGCCTCTCGCCTTCTTTACACGGCTGCGCTCGACACACTCATTCAAACATTTCCGTATGCTCGTGTCTTTATCGCATTAGAGCTCCCCCTATCGGGTGACAACAATAACTGCACTTACAAATTGGACTAAAAGGGGACGTAATTTTGAAAAAGTTGAGCTGTGATACCTTAATTGCCTTGGGTTGAATTCGTTTCGTAACCAAGCTTGTCATCCACTTTTCTCGGTTCAATAAACTGAAAGTCCATGAGTGAGTGAGCACTACTGTTGTCAAATAGTGTCCTGGTGAGTGTATAAATGTAAGCTTATGTTAAATTATTATTTTCATTTTATATTTGAGCATTATATTTTTTTGTGTTACAAGTTACCGAGGTTCTATTCCGTTTAATAATTGCCTCAACAAGTTTATGTTGATATTGTCTGATTGGCTGAAGGAAACCAGGAAGTGTTTGTGTTACCGGAAAAAGGTGTGTTCTCGTTCGTTCGTTCGGAGGTGTAGACGTTGGAAAATAAAAAAGCTACCTTCAAAGGATTCCATCTCTCTTTTTGCCCATTCTTAAAATAGAGCTATCCACTACAAAACTACGAACCCCTCAACTTACATAAATATTGCAAATCTTGATTTCAAGATCTCAGAGCAAGTAGAGTTCACCTGTCTTGGCATGCAGCAACACCGCTCGGGAATGTCGTTATTAATAAGAACACGGTTCCAAAACGCGTGCGATGTTTGAACAAAAATCTGTCCAAACGGACGCCAAGTTGGCAAGCGCCGGTGGGCATGCTTTATGAAATATGAGCTGACAGCTTGTTAAGGATCGGTTTGATGCAAGAGCAACTGTCTCGGCACTTGGCTGGATGCGAGTTCAAGAACATGACGGAGAACAAACATGCTACTCCCAGACTCGTGTGGTAGCATATCAAAACAGGAGAAATGTCGACACATCATCGGAGCTCGGAATGTTAAATGGTTGGAGGACATTTTACTGCTGTCCCACTGGATTTGAGTTAATTGCCTGCAAAAGTGAGCTGAAACCATGCCAGACTCAACTGTCAATCAGATACCTCCGACTACCGACGGCAAAAATGGATCCTACTTTTTAAAAATGTTTAAAAATATAACTGCTGAAAGACTCTAGTGGCTGGAATATAGCTCACCCGATCATCATGGGTCGCAACGGGGCACTCTAAAGCAGCTACGCCAGCTCAAAGGTGCCGCCCAAACACGGACTGTCAAGACAGATCTTCGTTTTTGTTTTGTTTTGTTTTTTCTGTACACCTCCTCATCATTGCAGCTTGTTCTGTGCGACGTGTGTGTGTGCGCTCTCACGGCTAACAACGAGGCACTCTAAGGGAGTCACGCCCATAGATTATCCTTCACGAAGGTTCGTGTTTGACCCTTTCATGCTGTCCACTGTAGTAACCGCTGTCCCTGAATGGGGCAGTCACGCCCCTAGATTACCCTTTGCGAAGGTTCGTGTTTGACCCTGTCATGCTGTCCAGTGAAGTAACCGCTGTCCCTGAATGGGTTAAAGAATGTGACAGGGGTAAAACAACCCCCCCCCGGAAGAATGTAACAGGGGTAAAAACAACCCCCCCGCCCCCCCCCAAAAAATGAATGGAAACTTTTTTGGGTTTTGATATTGCAGATTTTGCGGGTTGCACAAATGAAATGATGAAAAATGATTCTGAGATTTGAAAAACTGCATTCAATGTGATTCATCATTTCTGTTCAGCGGACCTCAAAACCAAAAGCGCAGGTTTCCATTCTGAGTGAGTTAGGGTCACTTAATATAACAAAAATAAATCGAGCAGCGGCACGCCAATAAAGAAAATGAGCCATCCCCCTTCCCCCTCCACCCCGATGACGAGCATGCGTTGGGTCTGACCACTGAGCTATGATCCGAGCTCTGGATTCTCCATCGCTTTGGACGACACGCATCGAGCTCGGTTACAGAAGCGAGTTGCGTTGCTGGAGCACGGTTGGTGACAGATGGATCGGAGTGGGGCGGTGGGTGGGTGGGACTCATACCGCACTTGGTAGCAGGCGCAAATGGACGCTGCCAGGATGATTGTGTTTCCACTTGGACACGCCGGGTTCAGGCCGAGCGACCGACGGGCGCCACCGGAGACGTAAAGAAGTTCGGGTGGCTTTCATGTGGGTGTTTTCGATCATCTTGTATTTTATTTAACCCCCCCCCCCAAAAAAAAAAACAGCAATGACAATTACATCCAATGTAAAGAAAACATGAGAACAGGTGTGGCTGAGGGAAGATTTTAAACGGTCAATTTTGCTCTTCTTTGTAACGGCAGAGACATGCAACAGCCCCCCCCACCCCCCCAGAAAAACACCTCTGTTACACCACTCGCATTTTAATAAAACTCCGTATCCCGCGAGACCATTCGTGAGTCCAAATGTGACATCACGAAGTGTACGCGGCTTTGAATGTTGATTGAAAGACTGCAAGGTTTGGATGTCGACACAGCTGGACGGAGGGGGGGCCGGGGGTGCCAGGCAGACAGACAATAGCGGCGACTCCACCTCCGGCCAAGATACAGTCTGGGCTGCCCGCTTCTGGAACAAGCCGGGTATTAGTCTTGGAGGCTGGAGTGAAATTTTGGCTTCACGGCTCTCCGTTGCACCTTCCCAGATCTCAATTTGAAAAGCCGTCGAAGCGGGGAAATGGCTTGTGCCCACCGCCATGCAGAGGCTTTTTGTCAGAGGGAGGGGGGGGGAGGCTCTGTCAGCACCTGATGGAAACGGGCGGCTGAGGCAGGATTGAGGAAAAACATAAATGGGCAGTTTGGGTTTTGAACTCGACGCAGTTGGCTGCTCGATGCGATGATCAATCCCGTCGCAACTTTTGCAACTCGGGATTTTCCTTTTTTTTTTTTTTTTTACATTGTTTAAATGTCACATGATTAAATGTCACGTGATGTAACCTTCTTTTGTCCAGTCGGAATTCTCCGTAGGTGCTGCTGTTTTTGCTCATCAAGGAAATTTGAAAGCATTGACTGTAACTCATCATGTGCATGTGGGAATTTTAATTTGTTCCAATTACGGAAATGAGGGCTGGCAACTATTTGAGGCATACCGTTAGCTAGAACAGTCATCCCCCCACCCCCCAAAAATGCCATGAGAGGTCATTTGGAAATTGTCCAAATTCACATAATTGGTCCGAAAATTATTTTATGACTACAAATGTAAAACTATTTATGCCATCGACTTATGGTGACAGTCAGAAGAATTGCATGCTCTGTCACAAGACAGGAGAAGGCACGTAACTTTGTGTGTGTGTGTGTGTGTGTGTGTGTTCATTTAGATTTTTCGCAGACGTTTTCAATTCCTAGAAATGTAGCAAAAAAAAAAAAAAGTGCAAATATTATCCCTCAAATCCTTGTTGCACCGTTTACGTCAATTCAATCAAGATGGAAGTACTTGCAGTTGTGGGTCAATGTGTGCCTGTTCCAGATTTGAGGGTTGGCCGGAGTCGCCCGGTATTCAGCGCGGCCAAGACGAACTGATGGTTTGCCTGTAACGAGCGTTCGCGCACACACACGTCACTTGGCCTCATCTGTTTTCCGTGGCTAACGTCACTTTGGAGAACAACCGTGAATGAATATCTCCGCGTTACTTTGACAGAATAAACTCGGGTCGAATCGGAGTCAAGATATCGTAAATACACATTAGCGGTATCTTGAGATGCAAAAAAATAAAATAAAATAAAAATCTTGGCCATTGAGTGGATCCCATTTCAGCCTGCTGACAGAGAGAAAAGAAACGGGGAGGGGGGGGGGCTTGAGCTGCCTTCATGCACTTTTAATTACAAATGGCCGTCTGGGCTTCAATTTCTCGAGAGCAGAGGTGAAGCAAACATATCGGGGGCCCCGACGCCACTCAAGTGGCAGTTTAATGTCAACCTAAACAAGCCTCGAGTCTGCGGGGTGGCGCTTTCGGGTTCACGCGAGGACTCGGGGACGCCCGCCAATCATTCTGTGGATTCAATCAGCCGGGGCAACAGGTCTCTCGTCTGTGTTAGCCGTCCCCCCCCCCCCTGAAGCGACGCGAGCTAAGCCCATCAATCAAACGGCTGCTGAGTTTCAGCAGAGGGAGGCCAATTCTCAACTTGACCATTTGTCTGCGGTCGTGGACGGTGATGGACAGATCGGAGTCAGGTAGACGTGAGACACTTCGGTGAGGGGGGGGGGGGGGGGGTCGGTGAGACCCTTCGGGGGGGGGGGGGGGGGGGACTGTTCTCACTAAAATTCGTACATTTTTATTAGGTCCCACTGGGGAGCAACTTGATATACTTGATTTGTAGTCGTAAGAGCCAAAAATGTTTTTTCTCCCTCTTCAGTTTAACAATTTGAATTGAGCCACCATCTTTTTTGGAAGGGGAATCGTTTTGTCGAATAAATCCACATACTGCCCTTCAAATTCAAAACACACATCCTCTTTCGAACAAATCTCCTCCAGTTGACGTTATTCTGGGCGGTTTAGATGCGCCGCAGTGAAAAAGCCGATCGCTGACAACCACGGATTCTGACATTTTTTTCAGCAGATGATTTTCATTATTTCTGGAAATAAATGATGAATACGTTGCCCTCAAAAAGCCATTTCTCAGTTGTTTTTTTGTGACTGAAGGAGTCCAGCACTTAATTCGACGGTAAAAGGAAAACATGTCAGTTTACTGTGCTAGCAATTGTGAAAAACGCAACTTATAAATGGCGGTTTGATAGTTGGGACATCTACAAATCAAGAGTACTGTAATTTGTTCTGTTTTAGGAAAGATGTGCAGCTGTTTTATTTCATTTTTTTACTGTTCGAAAAAACACAAAATGAGATGAGGTTTCACAGTATCATTTAAAAAAAAAAAAAAAATTGTAGAAATTCAATCAGAAATACATTCCCCGTTGTTTCTAGTTCACTCCTTTGAATCCGTAACAGAATGTCAGCATCTTGTTGCTTCCTGTTTACAATCCGCTTCTAAATTAGCACTGCGCGTTCAGAGCCCCAAAGCCTTTCC